CCCAGGTCAGTGGAGAAGGAGGGGAGGAGGTGCTCCAGGTGCCGGAGCAGAGATTCCCTGGCAGCCTGTGGTGTATTTTAAGGTTTGGGTTTATTTCTCATTGTCCTACTCTGATTTGATTGGTAATAAACTAATTTCACCAGTCAAGTCTGTTTTACCCTTGACGGTAACTGCTAAGTGATCCCTCTCTGTCCTTACCTCGACCCACAGGCCTTTCATTGTATTTTCTCCCCCCTGCCCAGCTGAGGAGGGGAGGGATGGAGTGGCTCTGGTGGGCACTTGGCCTCCAGCCAGGGTCAACCCACTGCAATAATTGAAATGGAAGGTATGAGATAGGAACCAGTCAAGTCTGTTTTACCCTTGACGGTAACTGCTAAGTGATCCCTCTCTGTCCTTACCTCGACCCACAGGCCTTTCATTGTATTTTCTCCCCCCTGCCCAGCTGAGGAGGGGAGGGATGGAGTGGCTCTGGTGGGCACTTGGCCTCCAGCCAGGGTCAACCCACTGCAATAATTGAAATGGAAGGTATGAGATAGGAGCAGATTGCTTCTTGAAATACAGCTCCCTGGTGCTCGGTTCGTTTGTCCAGTCCCATCTCCCTTTATGGGGATGTAGGTCAAACGCTGTTGAAATAGTCCTTTTTTCTAGAGCGGGTGTGCTCATTGCAATGCTGTGCTGCAGGAAGGAAGCAAAAAGGTCAGGGCAGGAGTGAAGGAGACCTGCTATACACTGCACGGTGTAGCTGCTGTCAGCTCACCCTACGCCCGCCACGGCTGCCGCCTGGGAACCCACCATCTCCCACACATCCTGGTTTATTCTGGAACCTACAGTGCAGTCTGAGAGATCCCACGTGAGGGGGGTCCACAACTGCAGGGTGCTCTTGTCTGAACTTGGTAGCCCCAAAAACTTTCCTTTCTGAGCTGTTTCTTGCACTAGAGTGAATCACAAACTAGCACCTGTTTTTTTGGAATATGTCCTAAGATTCTGCATGTCCTAAAATAGATTCTGTTTTTCCACTTCTGTTTTCATTAGCCCCAGGTTTTGACATTCTGTTCAGAGATGTTTTCACTATAGAATCCATTAAGATAACATAAATTCCAAATCAAACATCTCATTCAGCATATTTCCTATTTAAATTTCTCCTGTGCACTTCCCGTGTACTTATCTAAGGGTTGGCTTCTTTATTTGTATCAGTTGTCTCATGATAACTGGTTTTGCAAAAGAGCAAAAAAAGGAAGCTTGAAGAGAAAGGAGAAAATTCATTGCTTGCATAGCCTTGTTCCAATTGAGTGTTCCTTCCCTCTCCTGAAGTTTATTGATCAGAAAAATGTTAAAGTTGTTGAATAGTTTGTTTCCATTTCACAAATGTGAATCATGATTATTGCAGAAAGATAGGAATGTATTCATCATTAGAATTTGCTTTACACATTCATTTATTTTTTTAATCTATAATTCTTATTGAACTAAGAAAACTCAGAGGCATGTGTATCACTGCAGAGAACAAAAAGAGCCTGATTGAGCCAGATGGAAGGAGATCAGCCAAGCACTTTCCACAGTGCAAAAATACAAACTTATGAGGCCACTTCTTGATAGTGCTGAGAAATGTTATTTCCCCAAGGTTGGGGAAGATACTGGGGGTGTTGCCAATGTGCTGAGTGGCTTAAAGGCACATGGCTAGGGTGCAAAATTTGGGCACGCTGCAGCCATTGGTAGATCTGCCCACTTAGAGCATGGGGTAGGTTTTTAAACTCTTGCAAACAGAAGCAAGCTCTCCAGCTCTCTGCTTTCTCTGAGCTGGAAGCTTGGTAGCTGTGTGACCAAGCTGGGGATCTGGGCTTACCAGATGAGACACAGTGCAGTGCTGATGTCGAGTGTACTGGAGTTGGCCAGTGGTTCACATCTAACTAGGTGGGCAGAATGAAGATGGCTCTGTTTGTAAAATGTGTGGCTCCGTCTTGAATCAGCTCAGGTTTTTGTTGGGACCACTTTGCTTCTCCTCCAGCACAGCAGGCTCATAGGTTGGTTCATCTGTTCAGAGTTCCCGAGTGAGCAGTGTTCAAGCAGGACCTTCCGTCTTTCCATTGATGCTCTTGGGTTTTCATGGTCATTAAATGAGGCTATGTCTGGTTTCACTGTCTCTCTTCGCCTCCTACTCCTCCTTTTGGGTCTCATATCATTAGATTCATCCACTGTTGCAGATTTCTTTTTGTAAGCAGTGTGTGTCTGCCCTTTTAGTCATTCTCTTCTGCCAATATAACAGGCGTAAAGCTGGACCCTTTGAGCTCTGGGGGGTCACAGGACCATGCAGCTGCAGGAGTCCATCCAATCAAGTAACATCTTTTACCCTCATAATGATAATTTCCCACTTTAGCAAAACACCCTGCTGCCAAACTCAGTGATAATGAGCCTGTCAGTGCATCAGTGCACTTCCAACCGTATCTAGAAAGTAGGGATTGTTTTTTGCAAGGCAAATGAAGACACTGGTGATTAGCAAGAAACAAACCAATGATTCAATACATCACTGGCCACACATACCAAATCATTGGTTTTCTGTCCTGCTGGGCAGCAGCTGTTCTATTTGCTCTTCAAAAATGTAGGTTTTTTTCTAGAAGGTGAACATTTCTTCAAGAACTGGAGGCAGCAGGTAGTTGCATCTGGCACTGGGCATGGACCTGTTGATGGGGTCCTTCTGAAGCCGCTGAGAAGTTGGATGAGCTTTCCACTATTAAACTGCTATTGGATGCATGTGAATACAGTGATAGGATGGGGGAAAAAAACCCAAAGCAACCTCCTTTGAGAATCTATATGAAATTGCAGGACAAAAATTGCTGCCCTAAAACTTACAATCACTGAAAGAATTAGAAGTTAATCATAGATATCCTCATATGGCTTCTCGCTCTATACCAGTTGTGTACTCAGTATCCTTACAGATCGTCTAGGCTCAGCAGTGCTGCTGTTTTCATAATCCTTGCCTTGCCTAGCTGGCTGGATTGAAATGGGATGTCTACTCCGTAGCATTTCTGAGTAAAATGCATGACCCCGAGTCAGTGGGACTGCAATCTGCTCTGTAATGAGACAGTCCTGATATTTCATCTTCTCTCCTTCCAAGGTACCTACGTGATGACAGTGACGGCGAATGATGCAGATGATGGTACTACGGCGAACGGGATGGTGAGATACCGGATCGTGACTCAGACCCCTCAGAGCCCATCGCAAAATATGTTTACTATTAACAGCGAGACGGGAGACATTGTCACTGTGGCTGCTGGACTTGACCGAGAGGTGAGTTTAAAAGCCATCCTACCAGGTTTCCTGTTGTTGAGGGTTGCTGACTTGCAAAGCCAAATCCTGTCTCAAACGCAAAGCTTCTGAAAGCCTGAGCTGCAGCGTGGAGATCGTGGTCTTTGCTGCTGCAGCAACTGTGGGGCATCATGGCTTTGATGTGATATTTTTGTCTTAATCCATATCGGTCGATGAAACCCTGGGAGAATCTTCAAACTCGTGAAGCTGATATTTTCCTCGTGTAGCTTTGTACAACTCAAAGATGTAGAAAATACTCCAGAAGGAGCAGAGGGATGTATAAATTGGCATTTGTTCCCCTTCTGTCGGGGGACGAGTAAGTGCCAGTTGTCTACAGCCCTTTCTAGACCTGTCTTGCTTAGCTCTTTGCATGTTACCTTTGGAAGCAGTGACACAGCCTCTGCGCAACACACTTTGCGTGTCTCACGATAGCATCCTTGTGTCATTTCCAAGCTAGCAAAATGTCTTCCAGTGATTTTGGTTTTGTGTGAGGCTCTGCCTTTCGTACCTCTTCTTCCTGGTATTTTACATCGTACAGCTTTTTTCCAAACACAGAAGCATACTCTATTAGTGTAAGCTACATACCGTGATTCTCAGAACTCTGTCTTCTCCAGTTGTGAGTACAGCTCAAGGACAAAGCGTTTATACCCCATTGAAAAAAAATCAATGACAGTGGTGGGTTGGAGTGACCTGGGAAGGAGCGGACAGGGCTCAGTGGGTGTGGAGGGAGAGAGGGAGCTTATGTTCTGGGTTTTTTCCCATTGGACTGTGTGGTTCGTGGGGTGTCACCTGTCCAACAAAATTAGATCTTGATCAACTAAGCGATGGGAAGGATCATTGCTCATTGAGCAGCCAGGCACAGATAGTATGGCTGCGCAGCAACTACAAAAGGACTTAGTCTTAGGCTCAGATGTTTAAGTTCAGGCAGTCCCCAGAGATGACGAGTCCAGTGAAATCTGTTTTGAGAGAACCCAATATGTTGCATTTCTGAGAGAAGTCACCAGAAACTGGTTTTGTTCTTCCTTTCTCTCCTTTTCTCCCCCGTGAGCGATGGCAGGGACCGAGCGAGTGTATGGGTTTCCTGCCTGGGACACCAAACTCCGGGGGATGAAAACCTCCAGCACCGCAGAGATGTTTTCCCCTTGCACATCAGCCCTGGCAGCACTTTTTGGTCCAGGCCGACATGCATTGCTCTGCTGAGGTCTGTGCTTATCTCATCTGCCTGCCTGGGGCTGCTTTTTTGCTTCAGAGCTGCACAGCAGCTTTGGGAGGAATCCCGTCCGTGGCTGTGGAGCCGCTGCTGAGGGGGATAAAAGCAGCGGCAGCAGCTCAGCAGCAAGCGCGGGCCGCAGGGCAGGCAGTGGGACCAGCACGGGAACCGGGGCCGGCTGGGAACAGCGCAGGTTTGGGGTTTGCCCAAGGCACGGTTTCAGGGTGAGCCGACCCAGGGAGAGATGCCGTGTGAAACAGCTTTCCAAGGAGAAGGTCGGGTGAGCGGAGAGCTTTCCAGATGTGGAGCCAAGAAGCAGAGCTGGGGGAGCAGAGGAGCACCACAGCCTGCGCCTTTCCCCCTGACGTGGCAGACGGCGCAAGCACAACCTAGGGCAGATTTGACCTTTCCCTGCTCTTTTTATTTAGAGAACTGGGGAGTTAGCTGAATCTTAAGCAGGTAGATTATCCTGGGCGATGCTGAAGCCTGCAGCATGCTTGCAGTCGAAGAGGGGAAACAAGTGCTGTAGAGATTGCTGGCAGCCCTCGAGGGACGGTGGCAGAGCACTGGGAGGAGGGATCGGAATTCTGGCAGGAAAATGCTGATTTTATGGAAATGACAGAACTATTATTGCCCCCTTGACATCATTGGGGGCCAGCATTTTAATGTAGGGCTTTACGGGTAGAGAAAGGTCATTGGTTTATATTAATTTTAGAGACATAGATTGGGATGGCTTGGTGGGAGAGAGGCTTTAATCTCAGCAAATCAGCTGAAAAAAGGGGCAGGTGATAATTAGGGGGAAAGGGTAGGGCAGAATGGTCATCTTTTTTTTCAGATTCATCTCATTGTGTCTGAAGGATTTTAAAACATTGCAGGGGAACCATGTGCTTCCCGTTAGTTCCCCTGTTGCACCGTGTCTGGGAAACCGAGGCACGCTGCGTATGGAAATATGGCATTGAGCATCCCACAGCTGAGCACCAGGTTGGGCAAGGGACGCTTGGATCGAGGCAGAACAACCAGCTCTGGGCACAATGCTGGGGCTGCCCTGAAGCTACGGGACATGCTGATTCCCAGGGCTCTCTGCTGCGTTTCAGGATTACATCTGGAATTGGCTAAAGTTTCTGTTTTATTAACAGGAAATTGTATTAGGACTAAATTGAAAACTGTGTTTAAGCACTGCCATAACTGTACTACAGATTGGTTTTTTGTTTTTGTTTGTTTTTCCTGAAATCTTGAGAAAGCTATTAGAGGAGTAAATTTGGTTTGCTGCTGACATTTTCTTGTTGTTAGGAAAAGAAGCAGAAGAGCAGTATTTGGAATGCAGATTTGTGTAAATTAAAATGTTAACAAATCTGACCTATTCAGCTGAAACTACTACAACCAAGATAAATTCCCTGGATACCAGTTATTTCTCCAAATGCTTATTGACACATTTATCAGTGCCTATGACACTGTCATGTTAAGCAGCGTTGAAACAGAAACAGGTTTCAGTCTCTCTGGAACTTTCCACCTTGCTCCTGCAATGCAAAGGCGCCTCAAAGCAGGCGCAAAAATAACTGTCAAAGCTATTCCGTATCCAAGAGACACGTCCACATTCCAGATCCAGCATTTGTCTTTCAGAGGGGAGGAAAGTCACTTCAGAACTGGTGTTTCTAGCTCAGCGTTTCTGTTGTGCGCTCAATAAGTGAGACTTCCCAGCGCTCTCAGCACCTCCACTTAAATACTGGTTCTTTACTGGTTTCTTACTGATTCTTTAAATGTCCTAGAAGCTGGACAAAGTGTTCCAGCTTGTTTCGTGTCACAAGAAGTGTTAAAGTTAAGCTGCAAGAAACGTATTTTAAGACAAACTCTTGCAGCTTGCTGGTGTTTCTAAACCCTCATTTCCACAAACCGAGGAGGAAATTAAAAACTCAGCCTCTCGAATTGTGCTAGTCTCTCTAAATATGTCTGACACTGAAGATAGCAAAATGAAAAGCCAAGGTATTAAAATATTGATGGTTTTAAAGTTATCTTACCTGGTTCCCATTAATCTGGATGTAAATACGGTTACAATGCTCTGTGTCCATTCACTCATTACGACTGTGCTTAATTGAATGGATCCCCAAGGAAGATAAAGATAATTGGACTGCACTTCATAAAAATTATTAAAGGAGGACAGTTTAGCAACAGCCTGATTTAAGCTCCTGGATGCCTAAGGGTGAGAAATGCCAAAGGTGGAACAAAGGAACATCTATCCCTTGAACTAATAGGGAAAGTGATAGGGATTTAGAGTGCGCCAGAGGTTCAAAGGTACATTCCGACAGCCAGGCTTAGATGAAAAAGGTTAAAAGCAGATTCTTGCTGTAATACAGGAAAACATCAGGGAAATGTAGGAAGTCTGTTGCTGATTTAATGAAACTAGGAGGGAAAGATCAAACAGTGGTGGGAGCACAGGATGTGTGGATTAATAGGGAAGGCTGTGAACATCGGCAATGGACAGGTTGTTACTAAGTTCAGGGGGTAGGAGGGGACCAGGCTAGCTTATTTAATCTACAGCAGGCTGCTGCAGAAATGGGTGGTACTGCTATCAGATGCTACCCAACTGATAGCTTAATTTAGCAGTGCATCTGAATTCCAGATTTCATTGCTCTCCTTTTTTTTTCCTCTGGGAAGAAAACAACAAGAGGTACAAAAGGGTCAGCTGTCCCCAGCTGAGACTCAGAGACAAGCAGAACATTCCTATTTCTGTTTTCCATTCTGAAAAGTAACGTTTCTCCTTGTAACTGTGCAAAAGGGACCAGATCTGTTCTGCGTGTTAGCCCGTTCTGTCCGCTGTGCATCCCAGGCGGGGATGGAGCCCGGGCTGGCAGTCCGACGGTAAGCTCCCCGTGCAGTCACACAGCCCCATCACCTCTTCTGATTTCTCTAGGGGCAGAATATCTGTCTCAGTAGCACAGTAAACCTGCACCGGGGCTATAGTATAGGCAATATCATCCTCTGAAGAGCTTCCCCTAAATATTTTATAAACACGGACTTTGAGCAAACAGGAGGAAAAAAAAAAAAAGAAAGAAGTAGTGAGAGAAAGGAGGTGGTTGATCCCCCACTCTGCTGGCAGGCCAAAAAAACATGGAGGCATCTCAGATGTCATCCAGGCTGATTTGAGATAATAAGTATTTCGGCTCTGCGGTGCTTGTAGTGTAATGTTGCTAACTTTTTGAGATCTCCTTTAGAAAAGAGGGTCCCTTCCCAGCACGTTCATCTCATGTTGGAGAAATGAAGAAAGGCAGGAGCTCTGAGCTGCTTCTTCCGAATTTCTGTGTGTTTGTATTTCTTTTAAATGTGATTGGAGCTCTGCTGCTGCAAATGCTTTTAAAAATACATGAAATCCGATTCTGTGATTACTACACTTGGCTTTCCGAAAACGTGGTGTTGCTAGTCTTTCTCAAGTGAGTGAAAGATAAAAGGAAGAGCCTGCCAACAACTGAGTTAGTGGCTTATTTTATTTATGAATGAAATGGCAGGATTTTTATGGAGAAGAGGAAAAGTTCTTCTTATTGGCAGAGACAGTTGGATTCTTTTCCAACACTCAGGTTTTGGTGCAACTAGACATTTCTGATAGAGCAGACATTTGAAATGTTATGTTAGAAAAAATTCATGATACTGTGTTCCTCCAAAAACTGAGCCGGGATTGGTTTTTACCATCTGTAGTAACTATTTTGGGTTCATTTATCTTCAGGTCATTGCAGTAGTTTTTCAGTACCTCCTTGTTACTTCATTTCAGGTGTTAGCTGGA